CCCCAAAACCCCAAAACCCCAAAACCCCAAAACCCCAATATGTTTCCGAACTATTGAAATTTTGAGTTTTGGCTCTTGTTAAAATTGTATCCAAAATCTAAAATTAAGACTATCTTCATAGCTAAATCTTGTAGTCAATAATCACTTAACAAACTTGTTTACGGTCCAGAAATTCTCTAAGAGACAGGTACACCTCCTATTTTCCCAATTAATCCCTGCTGCTTGTTAGAAGGCAACGACAAGGTCTTTTCAGTGAAAATATTAGAGATTGGAAGTTAACTTTACTAATCTACCATCGTTTCTGAATAATAACTTAGACCACATTAGTTTCCCAATAAAGAAGCATTCTTTTTCTTCCTGTTCCTTCTTTTCTTTCTCTTCTTGTTCTTGATTCGATTCTTGATTGAGCTCTTAATTTGATTCTCACACTGAAATATTGGTCCTCTGGTTTGTGTAGAATAGATCTTCAGAGAAGCTTTGTTGCTTAATTTGTTATCTACCATATCTTTCATATTGCACGATAGATAAGAGCGAGCGTTCACAAAGAATCTATCAGAGAGATCAGGAAATGTATCCGTCTCGTCAGTTTTTAGTTCTTCCTCTTCTATATGAGGTAAAATGGAACAGAAATCATCCTTGATATCACTAGTTTTCTGCATTACTCTCAGAGCTTTGGTAGGATTTGGATTAATCAAGGAATTTGTCTTTTTCTGTAGAAATTTCTCTTGCTTGGCATTCTATCTCAAAAGTTACAAAGAGACAAGTGTCAAGCTTACATATTTGATGACTTCTGGTTCAATGTCGATGTTCTCTAAATTAAGTATTTCCATAATTGCTTTGTAATCCTCTTCATCTGCTTGGTACTCTTCTAAGAGTTTCTCTTGATCAAATTCAGTAATATTCTGGGTACTGATTTCTTGTACTTGGCTCAAATTTTCAACAGAATATTTAGAAATCTCAATTTCCTTTATGTGAGTTCCGATCTGCAGCTCTCTTTTGTATAACTGAGATAGCCTATTTAAAAGATTGTTCATTACAATATTTTTAGTAAGAATTTCTGATGAAATATCTACTAATGTAGCTTGGTCGCAATTTGGGCAAGAAAAGTAACCTCTAAGTGGAGATATCTGAGAAATAATTCACTCCCATCAATAATTGATACCACAACAAGGCATCAATCCTGGATTCTTAAAGATATCTTGGCAAATTTGGCATCAAAATTCAGGCATTAGTTGAGATTTAAGAAAGGGTTTATAAACTACCTTATCATCTCTACAAATGCCATTTAGCTTTTCTTCGACTTGTTTTTGAATCTTAAAAGCTACAGCCCCTGGAGAATCTTGGTATCCCTTCTCTTCATCAAACAATGGATCACCATTAGTAGGACAATCGTGTATAAAATGACCTCTCTCATCACATCTATGGCACACATAGCTATCATCATTCGGCTGTTCCACACATCCCTTATCCTCCTCCCCTCGGCCCCTCTCCTCCCTTAACCTCTCCTTAAACAACCTCATATACTCCTTCATACTCTTCCTAACTTTCTCAAGCTGCTCTTCACTATCCGAAAGACTTTCATCCCTTCATCCCCTCTCTCCCAATTCCTGGTCCATTTCTTAAAAAAATTACAAAATTCACTAAAACCATCCTTTAAAGGGGTTTTGGGGTTTTGGGGTTTTGGGG